ATATCTCCACACATTGATATTCAATAGGTAACATAATCCACTTTCGGAAAGAAAATCTTCAAGCAGACTTCTGAACCGGGTTGTAGTTTCACTGCAACGGAGGTTCACTGGCAATCTGTTCCACATCGTTGAGTAGCGAATAATGAAAAAATTCTGACGTTAGTTTGTGTGGGCTCTTGGAATCGCTAGAATATTCTCCTTATTGCGTAGATTGTGGGATGATATCATAAGGTATGAAGGGTTGGATACCGAAGAGTAGAAAATACCGTTAATAAGCCGGTAGATAAAGACAAGATTTAATTTGATACGTCTGATCCAAAGAGGTTCTAAGTTGAGTTGTTGACATCTTTGGTGATAGTCTTTGTTATCGGAATACCCCAGAACAGCTTTGGTGAACTTTCTTTGAACACCTTCAATTCTAATCAGGTCATTAAGTCTGCAATTACTGTAAACTAAAATACCATATTTAAGAATGGGTAAGATACATTTTCTGTATAATAACAATCTCGATTCGATATTATTGAAGTTTATCATTATCAATCCGATGAGCTTTCTAGCTTTGGATACTTGTGATATAGTGTGTTCAGAAACGTTCAGACTGTTGCTATATCTTAAACCCAGGTCACGAACAGTGCTGAGAGGTTTGAGTGTATGTGTCTGTACAGTCAGATTTAAGTTAAGGCAGCGACCAATGTGAATAAATCCACTTTTGTCAGCATTAAGTGGCATATTCCACGAAATAGTCCATTCGTACAACTTGTTTATTTCCTCTTGGATTACCGCTGAAATATAGCTTTCTTTCGTGGAAGAAGAGAATGAATAAACTACTTTCAGGTCATCAGCAAAAAGAAAAGGCCTACCATACTGAAAGAGAGAACACACGTCATTGATAAAAAGGAGAAAGAGTAATGGACCAACCACACTTCCTTGTATAACCCCACTGGTTACATTCACAGGTTTAGAGTAGCAAGATCCAAAGCGAACGATTTGGCTACGTTCTTCTAAAAAGAATTTGAGCCAAGATAAAAGGGGATTCTGTATGCCAAATGAAGAGAGTTTTAAAAGAAGAAGTTTGTGTGAGACACTGTCGAAAGCCTTACTAAAACCGAAGTAAAGAATTATCACTGACTGACCAACATTTCTTCTCTGGGTAATTTGATCAAAAAACTCCAGGTGCGATGTGAAACATGAGCGTTTAGTCATAAACCCATGTTGGGATGGGCTGATCAGACTAGCCGAAAGTAAAAATGATAATAGCTGTTTGTGGACGATTTTGTCCATGGTTCTTGAGAGCACGGATGTCAAATTAATTGGCCTATAGTTAATAATATCACTACGTGGTCCTGTTTTGAATCTAGGGGTGATAAGGGATGTTTTCCATACAGATGGATAGGTCCCATATTCCATAGATAGACTGAAAAGTTTCAAACAAAATAGTACAAATTCTCTACTTCCATATTTCACAAATGATGAAGGTATCCCGTCAGGTCCACCGTCATAAGACTTTTTCAGGGCAGCTATGGCCTGCTTGATGTTGGAGGGTGTGAAATCAATTTTCGACAGATGTCTGGATGTCAGCATTGGAAATGTAATGATGGAGCCTTCAGTTCCAGTTTTGCAGCACTGCGAGAAGTGCTTGCTGAATTGTTCGCATATAGTATTCGGGTCGTTAACAATGCTTCCGTTAACTATGAAGAATTTAGTCGTGCCAAGGGAATTTGACTTTACACGGAATTTAAAAAGTCGAAGTACTGATAATTCTGAGCTTTTACTACGTAGAGTTTTATTTTCTATATTCATGAAATACTTACGTTTAGATGAAGCATTTCTGTCGATTAATTTAAGTATACTCTGAAGTGCATACACATCATTCTGCTCGTAGTAGCGGCATTTTAATTTCCTCAGCTTTCTTTTAAAAGTATTTCGGCCTCTATTAGCATTATAAGCCACACGGCCAATAACTGGAGCAGTGCAGTCAAGGCAATATATCAGGTTGTGGTATAGATTGGAAAGCGCAATGTCAACATTATTTGTGGTAAAATAAGTTTCCCGTGGTAAACATTTAATGAGAGTTTCAGTCCGTTTCCATGTTTGTTGATCAAAATGTCTGCTCTGGTACGACATTGAAGCTTTAGAGTTCAATTGTATGGCGTTTAAAGAGTGAATAATACTCAATACAACTCTATGGTCACTCATAAAAAACTCATGACTGGTATGCACTGAGATAGAGTCTATGTTAATTGTGAACATTAAATCAAGTGTATTATTCTCCCTGGTCGGTTTTCGAACCTGTTGAACCCACCCACAAGTTTCTAATGTTTCAACTAGCTTGTTATATCGACCTGGTACCGGAGTCAAGCCCCATGTAATTTTTGGCAGATTAAAATCACCTCCGATGATTTTAAAAGTATGCGGTTGGTGCGAAGCAATGGAAAATATGTTTGTTAGTAATCTGTCAATCTTAGTATCCGCTTGAGGTGGTCTACATATGCATCCCACCAGTAAATAATTTTGGGATCCACAGTTTACAGTAACCCAAGTGGAGTTGTCTATAGCATCAAAGGGTTTATCCTCAAATTTGCACGCTTGAATGTCTGAACGGACATAGATGATTGTACCGCTTTTTATTCCATAACATCTATCGGTTCAAAAGAAAACGTAGTTATATACATTCAAGAATGATGGGAATGTTTTTTTTATATCACTGTGTCACAAAAAATCTGTTTTTAGTATGCTCACAGGCATGTTTACTTTTTTCTTCCAAAAAAACGAAGAAAATAGTTCGTTGCTAATATACTTATTTACGTGTGTGTACTTTTATTTTGAAAAAAATAAGAGCATAAAATCACTCTGCAAAAATCGTTTTTACGCTAATGCATGCTTGAGAAACGCATGTTTGTAAGTTTATTTTCGATTTCTCACCCGTTTTGTGTTTTTGCGCATGTACGAGTGAAAATCGGCATGCACTTATGTATCTTTTTTCCTATCCAGAATGGCTGGAAAAGACGAAAAACCGACGAAGCTGACGATGGATAAAAAATCTGATTATACTTGTATTTCCCTACTATGTTGCACCACACGATCCCTTATAGTAAGAAAAGAGGACTAGACGTTACTGAACATAGTAAGCTGTCAAAAGAGTGTTTATCAACTTGTTGTGTTTATACTTGTGGCTGGCCGCGTCTTAGGTTTACTACTACCCCACTACGAGAGGAGTGAGCTGTAGCGATAAATAAGTCCCCAAAATCGATCACTCTATAAGTCTTCGACATTTGGTGCCGACCGTGTTAGTTTTACCGGACTCATTTAGCTGAAGGGACTTGGTCATGCATCCTCATCAGATCATGAATGAGTACTCCATGCAACACATCTACAAATACTATCAAGCTTATACTGATCATTCCCCGATATATAAAAAGCCTATAAAATATATCCTTGAGTCTCTTCGATTCTGACTTGGCTGATTTAGCATACATCGGTTATAAAAGGTGTTATTGGTCAAGGTGTTGTCAAACTACGAATACTTGTGGGATATTTAACAGCGTTTAATGGCAGTGGGATAGGTTTAGTGTGAATCAAGGCATGGTTCGAATACACAGGAGCAAGCATTAGAGTGAGGAAGAACATTATATCCGACAAGTAGAAGTAGGCGGAAAGACAATCTATGACAGTGGAACAGCTGGAAAATACAGTAAACCTAACGACCCGACAATAAAGAAGGCAGGCCAGTTACTGAGATCCAAAAACAGCGAACGGCTAGGTAGAACACTTTAAGGGACTGCTGAATAGAATAAACCTATTGGACCCTGGGGACATCAAAGCAGCATAACCAGAATTTCCTATAGGTGGTACTTCACCAAAAACCTGAGACATCAGGATGGCCATCAGACAAACCAAGAGCGGGAAAGCAGCAGGACCTGACCATATACCAGCTAAACTACTGAAAACACCTCTTAGTATGTTTCTCCGTTACCATTTAAAAACAGCAGGTGATCTTGTACGGGTGGATATCAGTACACGTCATTCGTTCATCAAAGGAGGCTAACAAAAATAATCTGTTTTTCAAGTATTAAAGAATCATAACTCGCGCTCCCCAGTGACAGAACCTCAAATGTTTAGTCCTCAGACTGATTATCGCTTAAAAATAAGATACACTGAGCCTTACACTCTTGGTTTCATGATAGGTTACTCATGTATTGGAAATCAGTCGGCTTCAGCAGACCAATGGAATTTATCATCGATAGTGCTGTTATATATCAAGTACTTTTAAATGCCTTTGGTAGAATCTATTATTTCTGTTGTATCAACAACGATATTCAGTCACCACTGACTAGCTAATGTAATAGAGGTGCAGCAGTGAATAGGTCACAACAGTTCCATAAGTCTTGAACATTGATAATTACTTCAATAATTTTACTGAAAAACCCCTCGTTGAAGTCTCTTGGCCCAGCACCCTCATAATATCACGATTGGGTGCTCAGGACTACACATTCCTCACAACAAGAAGCTCAGTTCATATATTCCTCGCCGCATCGACTATCTTCAAGATAGTTCATCAAAATCCTCTATTTCTGAATTTTTATTTGACTGTGTTGGAGTCTTTCGATTACGGACAAAAGCGTTATCAAGCTCTGGAAATCTATGACATCTTAAATGCTTTTGGTGATCCCCATGTCTCTGGTATGGAACTGAAATGAAAGATGTATATGGCATTCAATCATTTTGGCAGGCGGATTGTAGAATTCAATGTTGCTCAGTAAAATGACCTTATTTATATTGCGTGATTACTATTAGTTTTAAAGCATTGAATATATCTGTATTGGTAATTGCATGCGTAACTTACGTGTTATTGTTTCATATCACTTAAGTTCATTGATGAAGTGACTCACAGATAGACACATGATCTGTTCTGTAGGCGTGGTGTCTGTCATCTCTTTTATAAAATACTTACGATATGATCAATTCTGTTTAAACCCATCAACGGCTAAATTTCTTATGGCGCAGTAGTCTACCTATGTCAAATGAACTCTCGGTTGGTTGTTCAGCCTCGCAGTTTCTGGTCACTTCTGAGAATAGATCGGGATATGATATTTGCAATTCAACATCGGTCGGTTCCCCACGCAGAAATGTTGCTCGTTTCCAGCGTCCAACAGCCTGTATTTTCTATACATTATTAATTATACATTCTGTGTAGTGTTGTGTGAAAGACAACGTTCTGAATCTCCTGCAACTCATTCAAAGAGTCGACAGCAAGATGCTTCCGTTAATAGTAATAAACAAAACGATAGGTTTGTAGCGTCGTTAAATCTCATCCAGCATAGATATGATTTTGAATCTTTGCAAAAAGAAATTGCCAAAAGGAGTGGCGTCCTACTCTTCGGAAACAAGGTAATAGATGTTTTTATTATTGTTGCTATAGGTTTTGCTCGCTAAAACAGATGATTTCGCGAATGAGGGCTGTCTAGGTTCTGGTACGTGTAGCTCTGTGTACAAGATGCGACATCGTACCAAGCCTAATATAGTAATGGCAGTTAAGCAAATGCGTGTGTCATCTACGTATGAAGAGGAAAATAAGCGTATTATGATGGATCTAAATATTGTTACAAAATGTTTCGATTGCTCTTATATCGTCGAGTGCTATGGAATATTCTTCTCCGGAGTGAGTTCATCTTACCACTTTTTACGCTTCAGGGTGATGTCTGGATATGCATGGAAGTCATGTCAACCTGCTTAGATAAGCTATATCATGATCTTCATCGTCCATTTCCAGAAAAAGTATTGGGGAAAGTGACGGTTGCTGTAAGTTCGTTTCAGTTTGCTTTATCTTTTTTAAAGATTACCACTGCTTTAGACTATTTGAAACGGAAACATAACGTTATGCACAGAGGTAATGCTATAATTTTAATAAGTTCCAGACGTTAAACCATCTAATATGCTTTTGAGTTACCAAGGTGTCATTAAGTTATGTGACTTCGGAATAAGTGGAATTCTTAAGGATTCTATTGCCCGTTCGCGACAGCCGGGATGCACTGGTTATATGGCTCCAGAACGTCTTAACAACTCAACATATGATGTTCGTGCAGACATTTGGTCACTTGGAATATCATTGTTGGAATTGGCAACCGGATCTTTTCCATACACTGGGACTCATATTGAATTTGCTATTATGACCAAAATAATTTCAGATCCACCTCCATCGTTACCTCACCATATACCTTTTACCCCTGCATTCCGTCAATTCGTCGAGCTATGGTAAGTCTGTTGCCTTTCGTTTATTGCTGTAAAGTCTTGGTCATCTCTTAATCTTACATATTTTGCTAATTATCTTGTCTTTTTATCCTTTTTCATCTTATCTGTATCATTTTAAAAAGGTAAGTAATGTTAACTATGGTACAACAGGTAAGTCACATGGTCTAGTATTTTGTGTTTACCGAAAGGCATTTTCGAATTCATTTACGGTCGATGCAAGTTTTAAAAGATTTTGTATTCAAAGTAATAATGTTCGAGTTAGACACTATGCACTCACCTAAATTCTAGGCCACTTTTACACGGGAAGTACTTATGATTCTATCTTTATCTCCATCTGCATTTCCGGTTCTTTATTCGGATATGACATACGTCGATAAATCTGTTTTAAGAGTTGATTGTAACTTTTGTCTTCAATAATCTCTGTACGTTTGGATGTAAGAAAGTAAGTTATAATTATTTTTGCGCCACAGTGTTAGACACAGAAAATTCACAACTGATTGATCACTGGGTGGTGATCATTGTCATGTTCGTCAAGTCCTTATTAGTGCAGATCGAGTGCTTTCAACCATGTTACAATATGGCCACCAGTCTAGGTGACTCGACACTGCGTGCACTATGCTGAGATTAGATGGTGGTTGGAGGTAGTCGACAGAAAACCCTGGACCCGGGTTTCGGGCTACTTGGCACCCAGGGATCAATCAATTGTGATTACGTCTCAGTCCTATGAGAGGTCGGTCGCGGCTCGGATAGCTCAGTGGTAACGTCTCTGACTGTGAAGCTGGGTGACACGGGATCGAATCCGTCAGGGAGCACCAGTTCCCTCAATATTACAGGTACACCTTGCTGACGAGTGCCAAGCAGCACGAAACCCGGGTTCAGGGTTTCCTGTCGACTACCTCCAACAATCATCTAATCTCAACACAGAAACTTGGAAATTGAATAGCTGTGTAAGTGGTTTTGTTGGAATAATTAATCAATTGAAACTGTTTTGGCTGATGAATAAATTCAAATAATTATTTTGTTTCTTACTACATGATGTATGGTAGAGTAGAGTGAACGTACACGAAAAAGATGGGATGCACACGATAGTCACAATCAGTAGTATCACTGAATCGATCACATTGGTAGGGATACATTCACCCTTAATTCTTGAGCACCAATATTATTTCCTACACTTTATTCCTCTTATTCATCCTCTCTTCGAGCTATATTCCAAAATGTTCAGTCGCTGTCATTGATGCCATTATTCATCTTGTTAAGTTCATCTCGATTTGCAAATGTGGTGTAAGAAGTGGGGTTGGTTCACATTTGTGTCAGGCTTTGTTAATGTTGACTGTGTCTCTACTTAGTGTATACCTTATTATTCACTGCATCACTTAATTAAAGTAAACATATATAATCAGCGTGTGTATACCCGCTCGTATGCTTTAGACGGCAAAAGTCTTATTTCTGCTCTAAAAGAATGAAAAAACCATTGTTAGCTGTGATGTATAGGTTTGTCGAATAAGCTTGGTATCCCATCCTTCAATTTTTTTTTCTTGATATGTTTCACGTCAAAAATATAGTCGGTATTAGCAGAACAAATTAGAGGTAAGCAGGTCCCTTCTTGCTCAAATTTTTGACCGGCTCAATCGGATTTCTATGTTTCTATCCTTGTAAAAATGGAAAAGTAAGCATTTGGTTGCCTCTTTGATTAGTCTGTTTGATTTGTTTGGGATTTACTGTATTATCCTCCTTTTCATTTTTAGCTTAACAAAGGACCATACTCAGCGCCCAAAATATCGCTCATTAATGAGTACTGGATTTTTTGTTCGGCACAACAAGGAACCTCATGATGTACTAGAGTGGCTTAGGGGATTACCATTACCACACTTACAGTGTTTAGATGAAACGAAGACCAATAATTGGGATTGCAAAACTCCTACAAGCATCACATCTTCTATGGATTATTTGACTGGTACAATTGAATCTCCCGAATCAGTGACCACTCTTAGTCCAGATATTTCCGGGGGTGTGAGTAATATCTCTCTTGATGACTCTTCCGATTCAAAAAAAGCATCATGGGAAAATATAAATAATCAAGCTGAGGTAGACGTTACACTAGTTGCAGCACCTAAAGTAAATTCCGATTCTAACGAGCAAACACAGTTCACTGTTCATAAATCTTCTGTAACTTCTGACCATTTTGTTAATGAAAATATTTCCCCTCAGCTTTCATCCTTTACAATTAGTGAACAGTTTTCTGTTGACCAAAATCCTCATTTTTTTAGGACCCGAAATACAATAGTTGATCAGAGTTCAGAAAATTTTATTAACCTACTAGAGGGAAAGTCCAATAAGTTCCTCTCCCAGGGCTCTTCAGGTTACGGATCTGCAGGTTCTGATAGTTCTCCTGGATCTCTTGGAAGTGATAGTCGTCCACCAAGTTCCACCCAAGTTCTTGATATGATATTACCCAATAGAAGTGTTAATGGGATCCCTCCTTTACCGGTATTTCAGCGTGCCAAACCTTCGTACACTATCAGAGTCAATAAACCCAATAAATGTTTGAACAATATTTCGGAAAATAATGTTAGTCGATCTAATTTGTCAATCCGTCCCACCGTATCAGATTCATTTTCTAATCATCCTAGTTGTCAAGTCTCCTCTGTGCATTCAATAAGTGGTTCTGATCAGTGGAGTACGTTATCCCTATCATCTAGAACAACTCATATACCTACATCTCAACCTGTTACGGAAAATTCTGTTCATAATCAACTAACATCACTCATTGAAAAATTTGAACCCAGCTCGAATAAAGGAGTTGGTTTATGTGCTAGCACGAAACATGAAAAGTGTACCCCTTTAGATAATGATTCCCAAGAAAAAGGTAAAAGTTTTGGTTCTTCAAAGATGGAATTGATCTGTGGTCGTCCCAATATAAACAAACGGAAAGTAGTTGGCCAATCACGTTCCTCTTCTGTTGGTGCTCAGTTGCAGCGCTCTCCCGCTAAAAGATGGTTAGTCAAACCACCACAAATTATAAGGAATCTTCAAGTCGATCAAAATCCTTCAATATGTGCACACAATAATACCACTCGTATACGTTCGCCAGTAATTCCAAATGCTACCTCATCCATATTGAACCCGAACTATGGGACCATTTTAGGGAAGAATACATCTCCACAACAATATCATCATCATTATTTCTATTATTATTATGACAATCAACTCGATGCAAACAATCTAAATAAACCACCTAGTACATCATGGGTGGCCAAAGAGAATATAAGTGCTCTTGGTAGAAATTCGCCATCTTATTTTACTAATTCAAACTCCAATTCATTGGTTAGTAACTCTCTACCCACAAGCAACATATCACCTATTCTTTCAGGAAGAATGTGTCAACGATTAAATACTCATCCAATTCCAAGACAAAGCAGTTTGCAATTTCCATCTGACGATTTTAGATCTTCCAAGGCGGAGTCAACTTCACTTCTTTTCTCTGGAATGTTAGGATCACGTCTACCTATGGCTTCACAATCCACTTATCAGATTATATCTAGCGAGTCCCATGGGCGATGCCTTAACCGAAACATTTTCCAACATCCACTTGTATTCAGTAACTCAACGCTAAGAGACACTGGTACATTAATAAAGAAAGGTGAACATCCTAAACATACACACAGATCAGTGTCACAACCTCCTAAATTACGAGATTGGCTATCTTTTGAAACAGAATTGTGAAGATACACCTCATGGTACTAATGCATATCAACAAAAATACCGAGATCTATTTATGTTCCTAAACTTAGTTTCAACTTACCTTTGTCTTTCGATGCTTGCATCAGCATTTTGTTGTTAGGGCGATTTTATTGATCATCTTCAAATGCTCACATTCATTTCTAGTCTTTCCATTCTCCATACAAAATGCATAACCTACAAAAGCTTTCAGTAACTACTCTTAAATATGTTTATTGGTAATCAATTGGGTTACTTCTGTACATACTAGTGTAAATTATGGTCTTCATTGTAATTTATGCCCTAACAGTTTTATTTGAAGTCAGTTACCTAGTTGTATTATTGTTTTATTAGTCAAGTCTTGAATTTTTGGATGATTTTTGAAAATAATCTTTCAACGAATTCATGTTAGGTTCCAGAAAATAAAATATTTTTAAGAATCCGTCTTTTGTGACTGCACATTATTAAATTTCGCATCTTGGATAAGTGTTTCACCATGTTAGCTGCAGTTTAATATGAAGGGGGGAGAATTGTACTCTAGTTACACCCAAAAATAAGTGTAAGTCTTGTAGATGTTATAAGAATGTAATCTTCAAACAGGGTATTCAACACCTTGGCGACTTCAATTTCACACCGATGACAGTTCCGAATAAGAAGACCATGTGGAAAGGTTGAAACTAAGTAAATTCAAATGAACTAAAACATTATCATCAAAACTTTAACTTACCCAATGAGTTTTTTTGAGCATTGACTTCTGATTTGCTCAAAAGCAGTAACAATGCGGATAATCCGAATTTCACATCGTATTACTCGTTTAGTTTTGCTGATGTATTTTATACAAAGCTTTTTACTGACATTGTCTTACGCAACTGATTTCTACTTCAGCGACATACGTTACTTAGATTTTATTTGTTTATTGAGTCTTCTTACCTTAGGCATTTTTGATATTAGAATGACTCCTAAAATTGTTTTGGCTTGATGTTTTCGCATTCAGAAATATAGTTTATAATGCGTCAAACGGATGTATGAAAAGTAATGCAGTATGCAGTCGAAAAAATTGATGGTCGGCTTTTGGTGCATTAAAGGGATTCGCTTTCATCCCAACAGTAAATTACTCTCTCTACATTTCATATTTTGCGAATGTATGGTCCCTACCGTTTATGAAATAACAAGTGTTATGTGGTTTAAATCTGCGTAGTACACTTACTAGTTCAGTTGAGTCTGTCCATTAACAATATTCTCCAGTTTTTAGTTAAACAGGATTAAGTAAAAGGGTTATAAGTGAGACTGTATTTAGCTACTGTGGTATATTGAGATTCATGTATTGGGTTAGTGAAGTCATTGTATACCACAGGATCCTATGACAGACTTAACTAATCTCTGAAAAATTGGAAGCGTAAAATTTCCAGGTGTCCTTACATGTAGTCTGTATGAGTAAATGCATACAATATCAGCTTTTAAATAATAACTGGCTGTTATCTTGCCAAAAATCGCCTTAGTAAATCTTCAACTACTATACCGTTCAGAATATGGTTATAATTTTCTCTTATCGTGCATAGTGTAGCTTTTGCCTTCACTTGTTTAGTTTCTAATAAGGCCAAGAATATATATCCAGTGGATGACCGCATCACTGAACCGTGATTATTTATAGACATCTACTTGTAATCTAATATAGGCAGAGGTTGGCATATGACATGTACTTGTTATTAGCCATTATGTGAATACAGCTCCTATTACCTCTGTATTAAAGGTCCCACTCTTATCAGGAGCTATATATTACACTTACAATTATCGCCTACCTTGATTTAAAACTAAGAAAGTCCCTTGTAATTTAAGATATGAATAAAATAAACTCAGTTGACACCGATCAGGTGGTTTTAACGGATGAAAAGAAAAATGACGAGCACGAGTCATTTTTATGCATGGGATCGTAGTGTTTATGAAGTAAATAACAATACTGTATCTGAAGCTATACAGTCATATGATGGGAGGTAGTTAGAATCAGTCGATTTAGGGTTATGGGTGCTGGAAAATCCAGGTGAATAGAAAACACAAGTCTTGGAAACTAGGTGAATCATTTTAATCGAAATACTATTATTTAAATTGAATTCGTCCTAAGACATCGTATGTAAAAATCAGCTCCATAAATATGAGCTCCTAGTAATCTAGCTATAAAGAGGTGAATGCACAATCCTAACACGGTGATGAGATATCAATTAAGTTGATTATTTGGTAGGTTCAACATAATTCCTAAAAGTATTGGAGCATTAGACTATCCATTACTGAAGTGTATAATCACTGCTTGCACACTTCATTTAAATCCTGAAGTCTTGGTGCGTTAGTGATAGAAAATCTCAAGTTAATGGTCTGATTCATTGAATCGAACTTGTTGGTGAAAGATATTACCACTGAATAGCCTGAGAGCAATAGAAGAAAGCAATTTCCTGGTCGCACTTTTCCGAAATCAACCTTGAACCCGACCAATCTCCCGCGTTTTTTCTCGAATCGTTATCTAAGCCTGATCCTTTTTACCACTGGCATTGTTATCACTAGTACTACCTTTGTAATTTCATCTCAATGTGCTGATACAATGAAACAAATTAAACCCACGTATATATGTTCCGAATCATACATTTCGTATGACTGGCTTAGTAATCACATTGGCACATTACTCTGACCGAGTTTCCACGTGATCGAAACATCCGTCCTTTCATGGTATTTTATGTGATGTCAAGTCATATGGATATGAAACATGCTCGCATAGCAAAAGTAATAGATGTATTTTAATCTGTACCACAAGTAACAACAGTCTGGTGCGTATTTGACTGCTGGTTGGTAAAAATCTACATGCCTAAATATCAGTGCTCTCTCTGTTTGTTGGCTACTAAAGCTGTAGCACAATTTTTAATGGTGTGTAATATCATTAATGAATCGATAAGACTATCTTCAAAAAACCCGTCTGTGCGGCTGTTTTTTACTATATCGTAACATCTCTTATATAAAGAAAACTTATGACTCAGTTGAATATGAAGAGTGACAAGTTTATGAGATAAAAAACAACTATATCCAGTTAATAAATGTCAATGCAATCAGAATCCTGACAAAACCTGTGCCTTATAGCATCAAGGATTACCCGCAGAGGATCTTTCTGAGTATAATATAATGTCGATTCTTATCCACAAACTTAGGTAAGAATTGACTTAACAGCCGTTATAGTTTTTTTCGTTTTCATCCTTTGCATATTTGTTGATATCAACTTTGTAGAATGTTGTAATTTTACCTGCAAATGATGTAAGTCAAAGGTAAGGAGACTCTTTAATTTAAGGAAGGTGTATATGAAATATTTCTAACCAAGATATTGAGATGCACCAAGGTTAACTGTCATTTGAGGAGAGAGCAAATTTGAAGCGTTTCACTGATTAGTTGTGAACAGGAACCATTCAGTTTGTCGTAATATGCGATACCAACTTTAAACTTGCGCTTGCTAGCTGAGATCCATATTTCAATATATCGAAGTTCATACGTTAAAAGACTTGTTTATAAATGCAGGTCGACTAATAAAAGCGAATACTGAGAACTTCTGTTAGCATAGTACCTCATTACTAACATTGTAACGTCCTACTAGAGGATTTAAAGACTTAATTTTCCCACCCAGAGGGGACATTTTATTTGACCATGCGCTTTCCGTAAACTGTGGAGCAATAAATTGTTTTGGCCGCATGAAGAGGACAACATTAGCCTTAAGTCAATAAACAAAATTACAGTGGTCGACGTCCCCAGTTTAGTTTCACGTAACATGTTATCCTGAATATAAGTTGTATATAGTTGTAACTACCGTTACCAAGGTAAAATATTGTCAAAAAAACAAAGGGATTTTGTGTTTATATATATTTTTGAGGAATCTCATTCTGTCATTGTCTCATAATGAGTTTTTTGTATGATCTGAAGTGACAACAGAGAAGTAAGCAAAAAAACGAAACGAAAACAAAAGACTTGCATACAAATAAGGAAGGCCAAATTAGAAAATCTCTTTTATGCATTGTAATAATGATAAGAACTAGAACACGATATATTTATAGAAGTTTGGACTCGTGGTTGTATATATTATCTGCAAGCAAAGATCTAACTAAGACGAATGGCAAATAAGTTTCCCAGTTTATATATTACACAGAGAAAACAACAATAAGAAACCAATAACAGAATATTATCCAACAGAGGTAGCAAAATAATTTAAGTAACCTAACCTGACATTCATGTAATAACAACAACCATTAGGAATGGCAAATAAGACAAATGAAAGATATGAGATAAACACATTAATATTGTATTCATGTAAAAACAGATACAATTTCATGTGAGCTTATTGAGAATTATGGTGATGGTAGTTTGAACCATTGTACATAATAAAAAACTACTACCAAACATTTTAATTCAGTGATTCAAAGAGAAATAAATAAATAAATAAAGTTATGTCGTAAATGGACCATTTTACTTCTTCAATATACAAATTATGAACTATGAAAGTAGCTATGATAGAATACGAATGATGTGGCTGAAATGAATTTAATATAGAATAAATGTTAACAAATAGTATAATGTAAGTAGTATGATTGGAAAAGTCCCACTAACAACTAGTCAAAGGTCTTTCATGCACAAGATTTAAATCAGCCAATATGGAAGAAAAATCGGACAAACGTTGATAATCTTCATCTTCTTCTGCGTAATCTAGCAATAAACAAGCATTATTTTTTGATAGATCATTTGTTGTATAACTTAATTTTCGATTATTTCTGTTATTAGTTTCATTCATAAACCGTTGTTCATCTATGTACTCAGACTGAGAAATACATGCTAAATCTACGGAGTTCTGCTTCCAATGAATACAATCTGTTTTCAATGATATTTGATTTGAACTGTCTGCTGAATTTTTAGTTGACGAATGATTATCATCATTATTTAATTGATTCATTAACCAATTAGGCATTTGTGATTTGCATTGTGATAAATTTGATACTTGATAACTGCCAAGTACAGGTGGATCTTTTGCTATCATGTTGTGGGATGATAAGTTTTGGTCAAAAGGATTAGCAGGACTGAAATGAGAAATAGTAGCACATGATGGTAGGACTGGTCTACAAGGAAGATCTGCGACTGAATGAAGTGTACGCTGGGGATGGTGACTGGATAAGTCTGAGTTGGTGACACGATTATTTTCACCCCCTTCTGTTTGTGATGATTTGATGTTATAGTTACGATGTTGCTTAGGAATTTCGTCTGCTGGGCCATTTGTCAATTGCAGATCGAACTGTGTAAAGATAGGATTAGCAGTATATTGTGGAAGCTTGAGAGGACATGGAAGCATCTCTGGAATGACAGTCAAATGAGTAACGAGAGCTTGTAGGGATGGCCACTCCTTGTCCAAACCCTTTTAAAGATAAATTTTGTATAAAAGTAAGCTTTATACATTTATTAATGTAAGCTTATGAATATATGAATAAATCTAACGCTACAAAATAGAGACAAGCATATTTTAAACTAAATGCTTACACTAGATATCAATGTAAGAAAACCCCATACAAAATGATCAGATTAGCATTGTCTCAATAAAAAATTTTTATTATCAAGTTACGGGTACATGCATAAAACTTTTATTATCATGAATGAATCTAAGTATTGAAAATTTGATTTCTTTATGTAATTGAGTTATAAAGTGAAAAATATATGTATAACAAATGGATATAATAAATTCATTGTGTAAATCAGCAACACTAAACTTTTCAGATATCAGGGATTCTTGAATTCATGAAGAAATTCTTAGTTAGTCAGTCATATGCAACGTAGAACCTGACACATATATGCATATATAATACTATCACTGATATTTCAGTTCTGAGAAAAGTGATTAAAATAAATCTAAGCAATATATTAATAAAACTTCCCCGGGCAAAATTAGTTACACCATTCACTTATTAATGTAAATATAATTTAAAGAGTACTTTCAAAATTAAATTAACGAAAATAATTAAATATAATCCAGACTTTACTCTAAGGAACAGTTAGACTATCAAATAAAAGGCGAAACTCTGTACGATAGTTATGTAACGTTATCTAACTATATTACTAACAAGTAACTATTACGTCATAGTATATTTTTTTCCTAAATAAACAGAAGGAATTCACTGAGCGAATTTACTGAAAACAGATATTTTCACTGAAACAATCCATCTTGTTTATTTTTATCATTCTATGCTTCATTAATTATTCGGAATCGCATTTAAATTAAATTGATTAGTGTAAATTGTATTTGCTCTCACCACCAGTGGTTGACGTCAAAAATGTAAAACTTGATAACTACATACAATACAAGAAACTCAAACATTACTGATTAGACTCACATGTATAAATTGCAATAAGGTTAAAAGTTTGTCACATTACTTGTGTGTAAACTATTTCGATAAGATAGATTCAAATATGAAAGAGGCTAATTAAATACTTTAAAATAGTTCAAAATTCACCACAAATGCATGCTACTGAGCACATATTAATCTTTAATTAGCCCCTTGGTTAAATGACTATATTTTCTTGGGTTAACACTGATTTCTAATTTCAAACAATCTTAACTCATTAATATATACATTAAGAGATGCTATTGATCTGTAAACCTTAAAGAAGTACACCCAGAAGGTATGTGCAATGTGGATACCATTTCAAGATTTCCCTAAATAATTAGACTGAATAAATGTTACACGGTTTTTCGTCTATTATTTCAAAATATAGCCACTCTTATAATAACATTTGAAAGGATCACTGACAAAATATGGAACATTGTATTGCTACCTGAAAGTGCGAAAAACATTCGAAAGACAATGAATCTTCCAAATATACTCAACCAATACTTATTGGCATGTAGGTCCATTGAATCACATTAATAAGAAAACCGACTATTACTAATTCATTACTTGTAATAGAAGTGGGTTTTATTGATGGATGAAACGCAAATATGAATTGAATAACAGCTAGTAAACTGGGAAATAATAGAAAAACAATGTTTTAAAAAGTATCAACGCTACTGAAAAATATGAACAATTAAGATACACACTAGGAAAAAATATCTGACCTTTAACCGAACGCCTCGATTCGTTTTTTGTATTAAGTAATGGGTTATTCCTATAGGATTATCCTTATTTGGCACTCGAACAGATAAAGCACAACAACCAGGATGAGTAGCGCTGTTGCGAACTAAAAAGCTGCCAACCTGAAAAGGAAGAAAAAACTCATTAGGGAGAAAATCAAAGGAATTAAATGTTACATTAGTTTATTTCTACTTACTTAGAGAATAAAACCTAATACAAATAAAAAACCAAGAGATAAATTAAAACAACATACATATACCAGTAAACGAAATAATAACATCTATGCTTATTAGGGAGATAACCATTTTTTTCACTGTATCAGATAATAACATCAGTTTACTATAATTCATCTAAAAAGTTCGATTGTACTAATATATCTCAGTTATAAGGAATTATTTTTTTATTCCACAGAGCTATTATGTAAAGCGGTCACATTTTCATTTATTGAAAGGAAGTCATTGCTCTTAGTCAGTCTACAATGAATTTACGAACAAACATAAACTGTAAAATCTCTTCAGTTGAGACCACACAAATTTGCAGAATATCGTAGTTAATGTATAAACTGTTAAACAAATTAATCAATGGCTTTAGAACGGGGGAAAATGGATCAAACAGGTGTGTGATTATGTTCTTTAACTCTATACAAGTAAACATACAGTTAGCTTTACAATATTACGTCGGTACAAATGATTGTGTGCATATACATTTTGTATCAGGACAAATTATGCATGTATATATGGTTATTACTGACAGTCGTCGTTATTCGGATTCTTTCAGTCACTAAAATCTATTACCCAATATTATATCATATTCTAATGTTAATACGAACACTATTATAAGCAAATGAAAAGAAATTATGAAATATAATGAATTCATACTATTCAGCCCCAATGAACGTTTTGGCTTTATTCAAAGGGAACTAACTGTATGGAATAATTCATGAAAACATTTAGTTAGAAATAAAATATATATTATTCAGTATACTTAATGTTTTTCAAATAATGTGATACTTTATTATCTTTAACCGAGAAAAAAATCGATACCTCTTCTTTAGCGAGCAATTCAAATGCTATTTCTCTGGGTAGCATAGCTTGAAACCAAGGCGCTTGATTTAAAGAATTATCACTATCACCAGCATTTTTATTACATCCCTGAAACTGAGAGGTTTGTTCAGGAGTTGGTGTAGGAGTGGCAGTTGGTGTTGGAGTCTCTGTTGAAAGTGATGACGTCGACATTATCGATCCTGGTGTAGGCATAACACGAACATTGTTAGATACGGTTGAAGGAAATATTTGCTTTCTATGTGTATCTTGAAATGTTGTATCGGCCAAAACTTGGAGTGGATCGTGTAAAGAAGAACTAACAAAGTTCATATCAGGTGTATATGAATGAGGTTTTTCTTGTTGGGTATCATTTCGATTGAGTTCAATAAGTTGTTCAAAAGGATACTGTGGTTGAGGTTGAGAGCCCATATTACCACGAAGATGAGAGTTTCCAGAAGAGACGTGTATATTTCCATGAAATTCTGATGATCTAGTACTATTTTGAGTTTGCTTGTAAACACTAGGTTGGGAAATCCTAATAAACCGATGAATACAACCACATAGTTAACATAAGAACTAATATAGTTGACAAAGTTTGTATATTATATATTAAAATATTAATCGATACTATAACAAAAAAGTATTTAGTGTTAAGAAGACAGAACATTTATAAAGTTATGTATACAGTATGTAAGAGATCAAATATAGAAATGAGAGAATGAAAATAATTGACCTAAGAGTTCATTCTAAAAAGACTATTGAAATATTCCACAAAAGATATGAATTTTTAACTGGATTTTTATGTGATTCTTAAATCTCTAATTTCTAAATGAAGAAGCTAATTTGATTAACAAAAGTTTAAACTGAAAAATAATGTTTGGAAATACCACGGGAACTATTCAATGCTATTCGCACAAGCTGAAAACAGTAATAAATAATTGGAACGAAAAATCACAATATCACGCACCTTTGTCCCGTGTCAAATTTTGCACGATCATCTCAAATTCGAAATTATTATTATTATTTATTATTATTTGAACACATAAATATTGGTACAATAGAGCGCCAATATATATGCGCCACACAAAACAATGGGAATTCGAAGAGAAGTAGAAAGAAGAAAAAAAACAACTAAGGAACGCAAAAGAAAAAGAGAACAATGACGAAGAGATTGGAGTAAGGTAGTATGGTAGTAACGACGGAACGAAAAGGTACAATCAGAAGAAATCTTTCAGGTAAAGGAGACACAACCACTTTTTATGAAGAAAGTAAAAGAAGGTTACAGCAAGATCGCCACTGGCTTCTATTCTGAGCCATATCTGATAACGTCTCTAGCCACTGTGTAGCACCATCTCTCGGACCCCAACCAGGGAGTCGTGAAGGACCAACACAAGCCAGTCCATTGCAGCTTTCATTCATGCCACGACACCATGTCATGCACTGACCACCTCTCCGCTTCTTCCAACCAGTCCCAGAGTCGGCAAATAATGCACGACGTGGAATTCTCTGGGACGACATTCGGAGAACATGTCCAAGCCACCGAAGTCGGTGTTTCAAGATGGTGACACCAATTGAATTATCATCTCTGTGCCCGAACACACGATGCCGAACCTCTGCATTACTGACATGGTGTTGCCACTGAATGTCAGCAATCCTTCGGAGACAGCGATGATCGAACACAGGGAGTCGTCTAACGTCCTCAACTCGGAGAGACCAGGTTTCACAAGCATAGAGCAGAACTGCTCTCACCGACGCGTTATAGATCCGACCTTTTACAGCCAGACTAACATCACGAAGGTGCCAAAGGTGGCCCAGATTGGCATAAGCCGCTCTGGCTTTCACTATTCGTGCATTGATCTCATCACTCACACCCCCACCAGCACTTATGCAGCTACCCAGATACACGAACTTCTCGACTACTTCTATCTGCTCACCATCCAGGGTGAGTACAGGATTAGAATCCTGCCAGTCTTGTAGAAGTACTTTGCACTTGGAAGGTGCAAAGCACATACCATACCTACGGACACTGATTGCCAACTGATTAAGTGCGGATTGCATGCCTTGGGCATTATCGCACAGTAAGACAATATCGTCCGCATACTCAAGGTCGAGAAGTCTTTCTCCAGGCAACAGATCCACACCACCATTACTTACATTCGTCAGAGCTGTTTCTAGAATGTCATCGATGGCAAAGTTGAAGAGGAATGGTGAGATTGGGCAACCCTGCTTAACCCCACTGCTCGAATGGAACAACGGAGAGAGGTGGTTGTATGCCCTCACTCTGCCTGAGGTGTTTTTATATAGGGCTTTTAGGATGTTAATAAACTTCTCAGGCACACCCTTCTTCAATAGACAATCCCAGAGAACAATCCTGTCCAACGAATCGAAGGCAGCCCTGATGTCAAGAAACACTACGATTGTTGGCCTTTGATAAGTATGGCGGTGTTCTAACATTTGGCGAAGGGTGAAGCTATGATCAATACATCCTCGACCAGAACGAAACCCAGTCTGCTCCTCGCGAGTCAATCTTTCTCGGGTTTTGAACAACCTACGAAGAATGACGGAAGCCAATAGCTTGGACGCAATCGGAAGTAGACTTATCCCCCGATAGTTGTTACAAGAACGACGTGAACCCTTTTTAAAGATAGGGACAACTATCGACTCATTCCATGACGTTGGTACACTCTCTAGTTCCCAAACCTTTGTAAACAACGTCGTCAATTCCTTAGTCAAAAAGTCACCACCATCTTTAAAAAGAGCCGGAGGTAAGTCATCTGGGCCAGGTGATTTGTAACGCTTCAAGAGTTGGAGTTCCTTGCGGACTTCCTCCTCATTTGGTGGATCAGTCGTCACCGGCCATGGAGGGCAGGACAGTCTGACTGATGTTGCCGGAGCAGCAGGCCAGTTGAACTGCCCTTCGAAAAATTCTGCCCATCGTCCAAGACGTCGATGGATGTTAGTGATTGGCATCCCATCATCCTCGCAGATTGTTTCACTCACACCAGACTTCTTGCTGCCAGTGGCTCGGATGAGTTGGAAGAGCTTCCGGCAGTTACCAGATGCAGCTGCTGCTTCCAGCTCATTAGCACGCATCGACCACCAGGCTTCTCGGTCCTTACGCAAGCTTTGCCCAATTTCCTCACGTAACATCCTTCGTTTATGGTCAAACTCACGGTCACCCGGAGTAGACCGACGGGCTTCAATGAGTTGTAAGGAACCAGAAGAAACCCAGTGCTTAAAAGCGGGAAGTTTCGCAAACCCACAACTGACTGTTCCCGCCATTTTCATGGCGTCATGCAATTGCAACCAATGCTCATCTATACTTTTCGGTGGAGTGGTAGCTAGCCTAGAGGCTAGCTCGGTTCGGTACTTACTTGCAACAGAAGTTGCAACCAGCTTGCTAATATCAATCCTTTGCTGGCGGTCACTTCGTTGTCCACTGAAAAGTAAGGCAAGATTGGCGCAGACCAAGACATGGTCAGAGTCCAGATAGGTACTCCAAAGGGAGCGGCAGTCTTGCACACAACCACGCCAGCGGTAGCTGATCGCGATGTGATCAATCTGAGTCCAGGCTTGAGATGCAGAGGGAGGACGCCAGGTGGCACATCGGGGATGACTGTGCCGAAAGTTAGTGCTAGCCAGAAACAGGTTATGGTCTGTGCAAAGTTGCAGTAGACAGTCCCCGTTATCTGACCTGCGACCAACGAGTCCCCATCGGCCACCTAAACGACTCTCTTCTGTGCCTAGACGCCCGACCTGAGAATTCAAGTCTCCGGCTAGCACTACAATATCTGTCGAACGCACTTTCTGGAGAAGAACAGATAACTGGTGGTAAAACTCATCCTTGATTGCATCCGGGCTGCAATCTGTCGGGGCATAGGCGGAGATGACGAAAAGTCATCGTTTCTCACGCCGATTTCTTCTCACTTTGATGGAACTTTCTAATCTAACAGCACATAACCGACTGTTAATGGGGATCCAATCGACTAGTGCTGCCTCAGCTCTAGCGCTTAGTGCGACACCAACGCCAGCAAGACCAGACGAAGGTGCCACAGGGTCCCCGGATAAGCGCACGTAAAACAAGCTTTTCGAAGCGACAGATGGAGTTCGAATTTGTAGTACTTCGCCAGAGTCTTGAGTACGGGTCTCGGATAGACAACACACGTCGATATTAAGACTTTCCAAAGACATAGCCAGCCCTATCTGTTGTCCGACCTGCATAAATGTGCGAACGTTGAAGGCAGCCAGTTTGAATGGTGCACGTGGTTTCAGAAAATCTGCTTCAGTCCTCGTATTCGGTGGTAACATACAATTTTCAACCGGACAGTGACTCGAGAACGTTTAGATACAGTCGGATTTCCACCAAAGACGAGCCGCTGTATAAGTATAAGAGAGGGTGAATAATGTGGAAAATAATAATAATAATGATAATAATAACAATAATGACAATAATAGTAGTAATAATAATATTAGTATTAATAATGACAATAATTGTAATGATAATAATCTGAATCAATTGTTTGTTTTTCAAAGCGAGAAAGGTAATTTCCATAGGCATAAAGAGTTCATCAATTTGTGTGTGGGCTGTGATACTGCCCGGGTGCCCAAACCGAAGCAGGTGGTTATCTTAGGGGGCCACACCCCGAGCCTTTGACCTAAACGTCTAACCCACAAGGCAGTGGAGCATCGTAAGGAGATGCAGTCCCATGGTAGCCGGTGACCAACGATTGGTTCATACGCCATTCGTACCCGCAGGATACTGGAGCCCATGTGCACCATTGATTTGGAATCCGGTTAAAGCGCCGGACATTCGCTTTTCGTCCTCTCATTTTCGTAAACAACACCCCCGCCACGAGAAGGCAATGAGTAGGACTTCCCTGGCAGAGGCTGTATACGCGTGGCCGTGTGAGAGTATTTCGAGAGGGAGAGCGGACTCTCCCCACTCTCGGCCGTACCAGGGCATTCGAAAAACACTAGGTGACCAGGATCAATGTTCGATTTAAGTAAAAGCAGAGTGTTAGACAACTGATATTAAGTTGTAGATATATCGAGCTGTTCGCTAAAGTAATTAACTAAACATTCCCGTTTAATATGCTGTTTCTCATCAACTTGTTTCGTACTTGTACTGGTAATCGTCCACTTTGTTTTTGAGATCACAATATGGAAAACAAATCTCTATAGTTCTAAGTTCTTTTTATAGTATCGTCAATGGGAAAACTTGAACAAATGACTACCGAAGATAAACATCACAGAACTTTGTAAAAAATATACTTTTAATTCGTAATACCAATAATTTACAACTAGGGAACAATTCATCATATAGATGAAATAGTTATCGACCCTACAATAATATGACAAAAGAGGTAATAATAATTTCAGGGGAGAAATAAAAATGCAGTATTACCTTGAACCATCTATATATTGCTGCTTGAAATCCTTTGAATGACAAGGTACATCAGGGACATCAACCAATAAAGTAGTGTTACGATATGAAGTAATGTTGGAAGGATTGCATTCTGTATTTTGATGCTTTGGTTTTGTTTCTTTTGGACTATTTGAATCATATGATGCTGCTTTCATAACAGCTTCGATTGACTCTACAATTTCACGATCTTCGTCTTTATCTAATTCATTAAACAAGTCTTCAGGTACAGGACTGGAAGTTGATAAATGAGGTGAAAAATTCTTTGAGTTATACTGTTCATGACTTCTTCTGAGTGAATGCATTCTTAAGATAAATTAAATAAAATTAGAAGAGTAAGTTAAAGTTTAATACGTATACTAACTAATTATAAAACAATTATTCACCAAAAATATGGACTATTCTGAAACTAAAATAAGACAGGCATTTTATAAACTCCTAAGAAAACTATATCTGCTGTAGAAATATATAGTTTTATTGAAACCAAATTATACTAATTTGAAGTTGAAATACCTTTCAAGTAGCGTCTATAATCCATTAAAAACGCATACATTACACATTGTATACATGTGGGCTAAGTAAACATTTTAAATTATTTACTAATAAACAGTTGTTACTGCATTGACTATAATGCACTTATGCATAAATATCATGCAAACTGATATTCAGATTAAAATTCAGTCAGTTACAACGTGGAGCCTAGTACATATGTACATGGGTTTAAGTTGTTATAGTCCATTAACACAGAAAAATGAAACTGTCAGGTCAAATCCCAGAACAGTAGAAGTAGTAACAATATCGGTAGTAATAGGAAAGATTAGGCAATGAGGACTCTACTCGAGAAAATATAAATTAGTGAAATAAAAACAAAAAACTTATGAGGAACTTAGAATCTCAGAATGTTGGGGGAAGACAAGGGAAGATGACTAGTTAATTAGTCGGTAAAAACAAGTCATTTACTTTTTGCTCAAATGACATAAAGAACATTTTACAATAAAAAATTGCAAAATTTGCTTAATTATTAAAAAAAAGGGATTTCATATTTAGGGACAACAAAAGCATGTGAAATAAATTTCCACCATAAAACAATATCATGAAAAACTAGGGGAACAGACTTTTAAGTATGAATCCTAAGAGTGTTATACCTTGTAAAGAATAAGTGTGCGTACTTATAATGAGATACTTAAAGGTATCGTATATATTTCAATAATACAAGTTATTGAAATGATGTTATCTAGGAAGACAATAATGGTTACACAAACTATCTACTCCATAGGATGCAGCACCTCCAAATTTACAATGTATTATGTTCATGTATGTACGTCAAGAGATGAATCCATGAAACATATGTCGATTTTGTGTTCACACTGAATTAAGTGTAAGCCAAGGATACACAAGATGTCGAGGAAAAAGTAACATAAATCGACATAAACGTAAGAATGTATATATATATAGAGAGAGAGAGAGAGGGAGAGAGAGAATTTACCTATTTATAACCCCCCTTTCCACAATTAATCACTACGATTGCAGTAATAACGCAATAATATACGATGTATAAGAAAGAAAAACAGATTTATGTAATGTATCCCAGACATAAAATTAGCATAATATTAACATACATGAAATAAAAACTCTGTAAACAATCTAATATTTAAATGCTTATGGAAAGAAAGAGAGAAGTAAAATTATTATTTTCTAGTTATGCTCATTATGCAGATTATAGTGGTAATTTTTTTAAAAAACTACAAATTCATTCAGACAACATAATACTCTTAATTCATTAACACCTGACTGGAACAGAAAAGGGGAGAAAACTAATTGATATGAACAAGAAACGCCTAATTTAGGCGGATACCTAAAAGACTACTTATAACTAAATGTGTATAATTCAGTGGTTTTATTGAACAACATAACTTTAAAAAAGACAAACGGATAGCTAAGAAATACCCTTATTTTAATGTGAATTATGACATAGAGTTAACAGGTTTTCCTCATTACATAACACATACTACGTGAAATTCTACCTAACACGTTTATCAATAACTGACTACTTAGGAATATCTGTATTTATATTAATCCTTTCCGATGGATCTGTCATGAGAATTAATCCATCAAAATCTCTTCCAATGATGGATTTATCTATACTAATAAAACTATCACATAACAATTAACCATAGTTTTGTAGTGTATCCCTTTTACTACATAAACAGAGGTGTGAACAAATATGATTCATACGTAAAAATATTTACTAGAAACTTAGACTACATACATTTGCTTACGAAAGATTATCTTTAAAAAAAACAGCACTTATACCGTAGTTTGTGAAATCTAATAACTCTATATGATCACATCAAGACTATTTTTACAGTCAGGATAATCGGATCCTCAGATTACTAGACTAGCCGATAACATAGACCGTAAACAAAATTAGTTCTTCTTTACCAGAACGTTGGAACATGAGATATGAGTGAATTTTAAATCCCCCCTATGTTAAAAGCAATCTTCGAATATATAATGACTTTAACAGAAGAACAATATGTCATAAGTGATGCGAGGGTAAACCCTGTACAGCCTGTAAAAACGAAAATTTACATAAATGTAAACATTAACAGTCTTCATTGATAAAACATTATAATCTGTATGGTGATTCCTTTTACATCTTTTTAAATTCCTTATAACTTTATTGGTTGTAAAGTGTGACATGCTGAATAAAGAAAATATTATACCCAGTTATGAAATCTATATTTATTTGTCTATCTGTTTATCTTTTTCGCTGTCAAAACAGTAAATCATAAAATACAGTATACATGAAAATGAATGCTTAATATAGAAATTATGATTCACTTATATTAAAGCAAACTGTATAAACAAATGCTCTTTCTAAAGTTTCTTTTTTTAGGTTCCAATATTGGCAATACATTAATTTAAATAAAACAAATGCTACAAACAGTATGTTTTTCTTTAAAAAAGAAAGATTTATCACTTACAAAGGAAATAGATTGGATTTATTTAATATACACTGGAGAATATCGATTTACTTTTTATTCTGTGAACAGTCAAAAAAGACTGATTGAAAGAAAACTTATTGTTTAGAGAAAAAAATTATTTTAACGGATCCTAATAAGTCCACAATTGATAAAAGATGAAAACATAAAGTAATTTTAAATCCCTGAGAGTGATCTAAAAGGGCGGCCTGCTCGAGCATCTGGGCTACCTGTTCCTGCCATCTAGATATTTCACCAAGTTTTCTATTTTTGTTTGTTTTAATGTATCATTATGTCTATTAATCGCATTAACCTATTCTGCTGCGTTTCTGAAAAGTGTACAACCTTTCGTTGTCAAAGTTACAAAAAACTCAATAAGAGACAATGTGGTTGCTGGCAATATACAACGAAAAGAATGCACATTATTCAGTGAACTGCTAACATCTAACAGGCGATCACTCAATGTTTATCGCCAGGACCGACCAAGAAGAAAGAAACGGAAACTTATTGAAATACTTTGCGCTGAGAATTCTATATTGTAACAAAAATATAATATTGAATAAAGCTAATAATAATAATAATAATAATAATAATAATAATAATAATAATAATAATAATAATAATAATAATAATAATTCAATCTACATGGAATTAAGTAAGTCAAGCAATATTCTAACACAACTAGATAGCTAATTTAAAAAAAAGGTTTCTACGCTAGGAAACAGACTAAACATTTTGAATGAATGAAAATCTAACACTTTTCGCATGTGCATCATTAATGGTTAGTGATATTAATTTTAAGAAAGAGTAAATATATCAATAAATCTTGACAGTTTCTTAGCTGTAGAATTCTTGAAAATGTGTTCATGGAAGCTCTGATTTGTAAGAATTAAGAACAACTAGAATGCAAAGTGATAAAACATTCATGTTATGATCACGGGTAGTAATGGATAGAGAAAGTAAATGAGAGGAAAACAATAACAATAGATATTTGTTTAATACTATCAATGAGATAGTTGAAAACGCTGGGAGTCAGCAGAAGATAGGTTTACTCTCAGATCTGGCTAATCGACTGAGAGTACTTTGAAGGATAATTTAAATCAGATGTAAATACTCTTCATTTGTCAACTAACAACCAGGAGATAGAATGGGGCATGAAAAAATGAAGTCACATAAAAAAATAACAATAGTCGAAAATAGTATAATGCTACTCTATAGGGAAAGTAGAATTACCGGTAAGAAATCAGAAGAAAGTAGTGATTAGTTTCGTATGTATGTATTGCACATAGGGCGCACAAATAATAAGGAATACACTCTTTTCTCTCATATAAATTTATATGTACGTAATTATTTGTAGACTGCACACATTCTTAGTATTAAATATCAGACGTTTCGTGGAGAAATATATTTTAAGGAAAAAAAGTTCAATCTTGGACTGATTCCCCTCACATGGTAACAATAAACCGTTTTTCACCTTTTTATACGAAAATGATTGACGACATAATTGCATCTAACCACTCCTGAATAGCTGTAAACAAATACACAAAGATGGATAGACGATAAAAATGATCTGTTCCCAGAAAACTGTAATAGTGCGCATGTGTATACAATAAAATAGGTGTGTTTATCTATCGCATAAGTTACCAGTCTGGTTAGTGTGGTGAATTGATTTCCTTAGCATTTTATTTTCCTCCCAAAAAAAAAACTCAAAACAGATACATAAATATATGATATGATGTATAAATATTTACCGTCTCGCAATATGATTTATCAAAAGCTTCTGAAGAGCCTTTGAAAAGAATAAAATGAAGACCGAACAATCGAGAAACAATATTTGTAGGGCATTAAAGTCTTGTACGCAGTGTATTACAATAAACCGATGATTATCAAAAAAAGAAACAGTACTAATTAATGATCATTGACTTAGGGTATGTTATGAAATGTGAGAGAAGTTGAAGTAGTAACTAGGATCTTATCTTTTGTACTCACTTATTCAAAAAATCATTATGCTTGTCTGGTTTGATATTTTGACTCGTTGACATACTCTGAGAGTTAGTTGAAGTTATAGTTAGATCCTTTGACTTAGTGTATAGTCTTATTAACATCTTACCGAGTCTTGTTCAGTATAATCTAAACAGGAATAAAAATCTCATAAATTGACTTTTGAATTAAAATATTTGTCTTGCTTTGTAAAAGGGAATTACCCCCCATTTCATAAACACATCGTATATATTCTACTATTGAGCTTTTCAGATATAAATTGATTTTGAACACCTAAAAACTCGATTCTAGACATTCTTAAATTTGAATCTTATGTTCTAATAGTTGTGCATTAGAATGTAGGTACCAAATCATTTAGCGAATTTGAATATGTTGACAATTCTACAACTAGAAAATGTGTTTGAAGTATCATTCAAAACCTATAATACGGCAAGTTGAAGCTGAAACAGTGATAAAGAATTGTCATTACATTGTAAAGCCATTAAGGTGTGCACTATAGCCGTAAGACTGATAATTTTAAAATGTATTGAGAATCGAATGGACATAAGCTCATTACTGAGATTAATGAAAGGTAGTTTGAATATACCTTATTCATCATAATTATACTTATGACGATGACGATACCAAAGCAAATAAACTGCTAATTTCTGTAGTCAAATAATTAAAGAAATGTGGTAATATCTAAACAATGTTTTGAAAGTGTATATTTTAATTAAAAGTGTATCAGCTGACCACATTGTATTATTGCGCATCATCTATCATCAAGCAAAATATGTTCATAACAAATCATAAAACAATCGTTTATGACAATTAACGAGACATTTCAGTTCACTTGAGTACATGTTGACCGAAGTCAGATACCGTCTATTTTTTGGTAAAAAATTCATAAATAAATTTTGTTGTCTGGATGCATTGTTGTATATGGGAAGTCTTCGAATAAACTTGTCAACGATTAATTAATGGTAGAAATCAAACGCTTTTTGCGTGAAAAGAAGAGTATTTTTAACAGTATAGCAATATGGATAAGATCCTGAGGATGGACTGAGTGAAATTAAACAAAAAGGAAATATGATCTGATAGTTTAGAATCGGAGAAAAAAAGTGTTTAACTAGTTATGTACTCAAACATCCCGGAATGTACTGTCTTCCCTTGTTTATAAAGAGAAAAGAATTAGAGTTTACATAATCTAAGCAAAAATCTAAGTAAGCTGACAATTTTGAGTAAGGAAATACAGTATCAACGTACCTGACTGGTGGTATAGGTGGAGATAAATCGGAAGTTTCTACCGATGATGAATTTCCACTGGATGGCGAGTTCGGAGTACGACTGGTAATAGGACACATTGTTGGTTTAGTCAGCTGTTCTACATTTTTTGAGGTATTGTTCGTGGCTGGCTGCAAAGGAGCTAAGGACCTGGATGACACCTGTTTTGCAGCTGCAAGGACAGCCGCAGCCTCGGCAAAAGCAGATGCCTTAGCATCTGCAATAGCTTGAGCATCCAAACGTTCTTTTAGTGCAACAACTGGACTTCCTCCGGCAAAAGTACGGAGATCCACAAATATAGGTGGTCTGCGAGTGGGGTTAGGAGTGTTCAATATATCAGACACATCCGGAGTTTCTTGTGACTGTGAAGTTTTGGGGAGGATATTTGTACTGTCAATAACACAACTAGAAGAGCTTGGGAAAAATGAGCTATGCCGTGCAGACGACAGGAGATTTGAGAGAGTTGAACCTTGGCGTAAGCGGGGTTGCCTGGCACTACCACCACAGACATTTTTGGGGTTTTCAGATCCTTTGCCCTCACTTCGTCGAAGAAAATGACGACGTAAGAACGCCAAATCTATGGCTTGTGGAGTCGAAATGCGGTGAAGTCTACCAAAGTAAAATATATCGGTTAGAGATTAATAAAACCATACAGTAAAAGAATTTTAATGTGTGATTTACCACTAGTTCGCAAAAGATTTAATTTGTTATCAATCAATCTTTTCTATACAGAAAACTTATCGATGTATAACAAAATATGAGTCTTCAAATCTGAAGTATAACTGATAACAGACAGTTACATTTGCTAATGATTGAAAACGGTTAGGCAGTATATGCATCAGGCAGTGATTCGGGTAATGATATGATGACTAACAAATTAACGAACTGATTTGAACTAGAGAAATACTGAAAGATAGGTATCATTGGATAACTACTTTGTTTTAGTTTGGAATTATTAAGACGTATGCGTCCACAACATCATCAACACCATTAGGTATCAAGATCACTGAATTGAAAGCCAATGGTCTACATTTTCAGTCTATCTTATGCAGTAAAAGACGTCGAGTGATACCAAAACATTAGGAAAAAGAAACTTAGTGATTATAACGGTCGAAATAACAGACAGTAAGATAACATTTGCTTAAGTACATCAAAAAGTTCTGTGGTCTACTGTGAAGATGATGTCAATCTTTTTCTCACACATCTAGCGTAATGTGCGTTAAAAGTAGTATATAGCAGGAGTCGGAAGTGGGATGCCTGCCAGTAGAAAACTGAAATAAAAAGAGGGAGAAAACAGAGAGAAATCAAAATAACAGGATTGCGAGAATGAGTGTGAGTATGTAAAGGACAACTGAAGGAAGATGTGCAAATGATGTATTTAATATATGATTTTAATATTTTGCAAAGGCACTGTGTGATGTTGCATAAAACAATCGATTGGTTTTCCTCACCAATTCCTCTTTCACTACACTAGTTGGCACAGCAATGTTTAGTCTAACTTAAACGTTTGATTTCCCCTTCCGAAAGTTGTAAACAAACTAGCAAAAGTAAGTGATATAAGCTATAGAATAAAAATCGACATAACATATTAAGTAAAAAAAACTTTATCATTTTGTTTATATATTATAAGAGAAATTTATCATCTGGAGATATAATATGATCCAATTGAATGGTTAAAATGATTTTAAGTAATCTTACTAGAAACCTCTACCCTTTTTGATGATCTAAACTTGCATGAACTTTCAAAACATCTTTGTAAAATTTCTGATATAAAATCAAATGATCCCATTGAAAATGAAAATTGAATGATATGATCTAGTTGGTATGTGTAATCATTTTAATAATCCAAAGTTATATGATACATTTAGTGTAATGTTTCTGTTTTTTAAGGATACTATGTTGAAAGATGAAAAATGTACTGCTTAAATATACGTTTTGGACATACTACTAACACAATGTCTCAATTTAAAACTATGTCGTTTATTAAAATTATTCTCAAGTCAACTGGCTTGCTAGTACAACTTGAAATAATGAATCCCACGTTTACGAAGCGAAACACTTTTTGTTTAGTAGCGATATAATATGAAACAGGATGATACCAAGCAACCGACCACGCTGTTGTTACAAGAAGTTAATGAGAACCAAAATTACCATCGTTAAAAATTCACCACATAAATACAGGAATTCAGTGAGTCCATTTCCTAACATTCAGAACTGATTAACTTTAAGCTAGTCAGGCTTATTTAAATCCAAAACAGATATAGAAATTATCATAATAAAATTATTATTTCCTGCGAAATATCAGTAAAACATTAGATATCTTCTTAATTCATATACAAACGGCGACATAAGATCGTGAACGAGACTAGTTTTTCTGCAAAGAATGCCTTAAAATTAAGTTATATATGTATTCACGTTTCGTGTTCTACTATTATAAAATAGTGTATACACAAGAAGCAATAAAATACAATATGATTTATGAAATAATTCCCATGAATATTATCATAAACTGAAACCTCTCTCAACTATGATGGCAACTAGTAGATAACCTTTAATTCTATTAATTCCTTCATCGACAATGAATCACCATTTGTACAGGAAAACCCTTGTTTCGAATATCCATATATAAAGGTCAGTGACTTCTCTCCACCAACACAAAGATATATATATATATATATATATATATAAATGCAAACAAATAATCAAAACAATGGACTATTGTTACTAATTTTGATACGAAAATTCACTCACTTTTTCTCCAGTTCACTAGCATCTTTATTAGACTGACTGTTATTGTTTAGTCCTTTATCTCTGACTAGTACAGAATCTGAATGAACAGAAAGTTGGTTAGGATCGTTATCTGACGAAGAGGATGAAGTTGTTGGATTTTCTACTGTCACAGGTAAAGATTCATGCTTAATAATGCCTTTTTTGTACATATTTACAGTAGATGATTCGAGTGAATCATGGCAGAAAGTAGACATAATAGTGCTAGTACTAGCGACAGGATCATCACATGTTGAAGTAACATCTGTATTGGTGTAATGGATGCCCGGAGATGACAGATTAGTTTGCCGTTCGGCTGTAGTTCCATTTTCGATTGAAACGGGGGGAGGGAACTCTGGAGGTGGGGGGAGTTTAAGAGTGCTTAACAAAGAAAGACTGTTGGGATTTTGTTCAGTTTGAGGAAGCCAAACAGGATGACAATCGCTAAGTTGAGGTATATTTACTGGAGTGGAAAAATCATGTTTTCCAGCTTGATGAAGCTTAATAAGGCGCTGTCGAACATAGGCAAATTTGAAGGCGTTTCCAATCAGCCGATTTAATTCTTCCGCCTGTTTAAAAAACAATAAATACATCGCACAACAATCAATTCCATTGAACTCTGAGAATAATTAGTTGAGTCAGTATTTAATACCTAATGAAAATAATGGAAGTATATCTAAGTCTGTTAAATGAAATGAAACAGAAATCCAGTCAAACATTTAGATAAAAAATATAATATACAGTTATTGGACAGTAAACAATCTAGTAGTGTACTGGCTACTATTGTTCAGCGATATCATTGCTTAACTAAGGTGCATTATATAATTATTACGTGTACTTATGAACAAAAATGAAAAATTCATAAGTTATTAAAACTAAAATCTGGTTTTGATCAAAATTTTACTAACAAGCAATCATTAAATAATGTAGGGTAAAGTTATCTTAGTGAAATAAATGGAAAAATAAAGCCGGTTGCAAAATAACGGAATTTTTACACTATCGGACCACTTTTAGAATACACATCAAACTAACGAAGATACTTAAAAAACCACCTCACATTTGTAATACTAAGCCGGTGTAAGATGTAACTTTGAAAAACTGTGTAACTATAATTGCCGAGTAAGTAACATTTTAGTTTTTTAATTATTTGTTCAAGCATTTAACACAGTAATAAGAATATCACAGATTTATATGATATTAAAACAACTTTTGTGAATGGATATCCAACTTATCTGGTCACTAATTAATCATTTTGTTTTCTGCAATTTTTCCTCATTAAAAGCATCTAGATAATGTGAATCTATTATCACAGTGCTCGATATTTGAATTTGAACACAGTATCAAAATCATAGAAAGCTAGGGGTTAGACTGAATAAATGTGACCCATATAGTAGTCAGATTCTACATTTTGTAAATATACATTAATCAATCGATTACCAGGGTCTGAACATTTTCACAGTGGGATATAGTTAATGGCATTTTAAAGCACAAAATAAACTGTTGAATTTATTACTTTCATAACAAATAATTTCCGTGTACGCCAAAAAGATCGGTTATCTATATTTGTCTAATCTATAAGATTCCTAGTAAATTAAAATAACGGATAATATGCATGTCTGCAAGAAAATATGATTACCGATTTAGGCAGTCATAAGTTGAGAAATTAACTAAGGTTATGATGAGAGACATGAAGGAAAACTGAGGCAGACTGTGCACTGCAATATAATGAATGATATCTAAGTGGAACATAATCGACAGAAAAACCCTTTCATACCAAGCGAAATAAACAACCTTATTGACTGACTCTAAACAGAACCAGTAACAAATATTAGAACAAGAAACGGACTCTTTATGTATAGTCAACAGGTTGTTGATTAATTTCCCGACAGTAGTGGGTTAAATACGTTGATATGTATTTTGAAATCGATTTCAGGAATATTCAGCGGCAAAAACGCAAAGTTTCGTTCGATTTTTATTGACATCAAATACTATAGATACATATGTTTCTAAGCAAGACTAAAAAGTTTTGTGTTTGTATGATGTAACAAAGAAAAAATACTTTTGTAGATAGAACAGATATCTGATGTAACACACTAGAAATCAAAAGCAACTTAATTAACATAAATGGTTGATGAGTCATTTACAATGAAAAATAGTTTAAAAAACTGATCATCAAGATATAAACCAAAAAGCAGTTTACAGTCTATACTATTTTTTAACGAATATGAAAAGTAGATGATTGATAAGAATGGGATTGTAATAATAATATATATATATATCACAGTTTCGAGACAAATTGGAAATAAACTATTCTTGTCACATGCAGGGATGGGAAATTGGTGACGATGCAGATTCTAGAAAAATAACAAACAAAATATTTAAATTTCACAAAAGCACAAGAAAACTGAGTCAAAGAGGAACAGAACATAATTAAATACATAATAACAGAACATCCAAGACTTGAAGATAAAAAATGCATACAACAAGGTCTTCGACTCTTTCTACGAAGATCAAGTTTTTCTGCACTGACAAGAACAACATGTTTATACAATCTTTAGTGAACAATAGATAGTAAATATATGAGGCAATAAATATATCCGTAGTAAAAGCTATTTGTGTAAATGCCAATTAAAATCTTGGTTAAAAATAAGGAATAAAAGGGAGGAAAATGCCAAAAAAGATAACTAAAAGTCTCACACAAACACTCGTTCACTAAATAAAGGTGGGACATATTATGGAGCATACTATCTGGGCGGGTTACAACTTATATTTCAAGAATAAAAGATGGAAACGTCGAATTACTTCCTATTTTTGATTGGATAAAATGAGGTAGTGATTCTGGAATTTTCTAAATTGGGTTCAAAAATAATTAATACCGAAACTGATGGATGTAGTTACCTTCAGAAACTCCGGTCAGCTGGATCGGTCTTAAACATGAAACAAAGGAAAATGGCATTCAAACAACGTTCACCGACGCTGTAGCTGACTGACAACTGCTACCAAAACATTCCGTCTTAACTAATTGGCTGAATGTCCTTATGAGGTCTGTTATCATGACAATTACATTGAAGTTATACAGCTGTTTTCTTGTTGCTTTAAATTAACAGTGAGTTTAAGGCAGAACATCAGATGAAGGGATTCCTCAATTTTCCATTAACGATCAGATGCTCAAAAGGACATGGTGGTTATATAAACTTAGTATCTGAAGGACGACTTGAAGTATGTAGTAATTGGTCTAACCATAATCATTCGTCGAACAGTGTCCACGAGGCCAGTGAATAAATCAACAAAACTGTCAGGGATCTGTACTTATACTTACTCTTCGTTGTAAACAACTGGAAACAATCGAAAAACTTGCGTATCTGGACAACTGTGTAAGACCTGATGTGGCACACGAGACCAATATACGTATTGTGAAAGAAAAGGGTGGCTTATTTCAACATGACCCACTTTGGCAGTATATTGTTGTATTGACTCATTGCCTTCTCGTGGCGGGGGTGTTGTTTACGAAAATGAGAGGACGAAAAGCGAATGTCCGAAGCTTTAACCGGATCACAAACCAATGGTGCACATGGGCTCCAGTATCCTGCGGGAACAAATGGCTTATGAACCAATCTTTGGTCACCGGCTACCATGGGATTGCATCTCCTTACGGTGCTCCACTGCCTTGTGGGTTAGACCTTTAGGTCAAAGGCTCGGGGAGTAGCCCCTTAAGATAACCACCTGCTTCGGTTTGGGCACCCGGGCAGTATCACAGCCCACACACAAACGATGAACTCTATGTCTATGGCAACCACTTTTCTCGCTCCGAAAAACAATCAGTCGATTCAAATAATTATCATTACTATTATTGTCATTATTATTATTTTCCACATTATTCACCCTCTTTTATACTTATACAGCGGCTCGACTTTGGTGGAAATCCGACTGTATCTAAACGTTCTCGAGTCACTGTCCGGTTGAAAATTGTATGTTACCATCGAATATGAGTACTGAAGCAGTTTTTCTGAAACCACGTGCGCCATTCAAACTGGCTGCCTTCAACGTTCGCACACTTATGCAGGTTGGTCAACAGATAGGGCTGGCTATGTCTTTAGAAAGTCTTAATATTGATGTTTGTTGTCTATCCGAGACCCGTATTCAAGACTCTGGCGAAGTACTACAAATTCGCTCTACATCTGTCACTTCAAAAAGCTTGTTTTACGTGCGCTTATCCGGGGACCCTGTGGCATCTTCCTCTGGTCTTGCAGGCGTTGGTGTCGCACTAAGCGCTAGAGCTGAGGCAGCACTAGTCGATTGGATCCCCATTAACAGTCGGTTATGTGCTGTTAGATTAGAAAGTTCCATCAAAGTGAGAAGAAATCGGCGTGAGAAACGATGACTTTTCGTCATCTCCGCCTATGCCCCGACAGATTGCAGCCCGGATGCAATCAAGGATGAGTTTTACCACCAGTTATCTGTTCTTCTCCAGAAAGTGCGTTCGACAGATATTGTAGTGCTAGCCGGAGACTTGAATTCTCAGGTCGGGCGTCTAGGCACAGAAGAGAGTCGTTTAGGTGGCCGATGGGGACTCGTTGGTCGCAGGTCAGATAACGGGGACTGTCTACTGCAACTTTGCACAGACCATAACCTGTTTCTGGCTAGCACTAACTTTCGGCACAGTCATCCCCGATGTGCCACCTGGCGTCCTCCCTCTGCATCTCAAGCCTGGACTCAGATTGATCACATCGCGATCAGCTACCGCTGGCGTGGTTGTGTAAAAGACTGCCGCTCCTTTTGGAGTACCTATCTGGACTCTGACCATGCCTTGGTCTGTGCCAATCTTGCCTTACTTTTCAGTGGACAACGAAGTGACCGCCAGCAAAGGATTGATATTAGCAAGCTGGTTGCAACTTCTGTTGCAAGTAAGTACCGAACCGAGCTAGCCTCTAGGCTAGCTACCACTCCACCGAAAAGTATAGATGAGCATTGGTTGCAATTGCATGACGCCATGAAAATGGCGGGAACAGTCAGTTGTGGGTTTGCGAAACTTCCCGCTTTTAAGCACTGGGTTTCTTCTGGTTCCTTACAACTCATTGAAGCCCGTCGGTCTACTCCGGGTGACCGTGAGTTTGACCATAAACGAAGGATGTTACGTAAGGGAATTGGGCAAAGCTTGCGTAAGGACCGAGAAGCCTGGTGGTCGATGCGTGCTAATGAGCTGGAAGCAGCAGCTGCATCTGGTAACTGCCGGAAGCTCTTCCAACTCATCCGAGCCACTGGCAGCAAGAAGTCTGGTGTGAGTGAAACAATCTGCGAGGATGATGGGATGCCAATCACTAACATCCATCGACGTCTTGGACGATGGGCAGAATTTTTCGAAGGGCAGTTCAACTGGCCTGCTGCTCCGGCAACATCGGTCAGACTGTCCTGCCCTCCATGGCCGGTGACGACTGATCCACTAAATGAGGAGGAAGTCCGCAAGGAACTCCAACTCTTGAAGCGTTACAAATCACCTGGCCCAGATGACTTACCTCCGGCTCTTTTTAAAGATGGTGGTGACTTTCTGACTAAGGAATTGACGACGTTGTTTACAAAGGTTTGGGAACTAGAGAGTGTACCAACGTCATGGAATGAGTCGATAGTTGTCCCTATCTTTAAAAAGGGTTCACGTCGTTCTTGTAACAACTATCGGGGGATAAGTCTACTTCCGATTGCGTCCAAGCTATTGGCTTCCGTCATTCTTCGTAGGTTGTTCAAAACCCGAGAAAGATTGACTCGCGAGGAGCAGACTGGGTTTCGTTCTGGTCGAGGATGTATTGATCATAGCTTCACCCTTCGCCAAATGTTAGAACACCGCCATACTTATCAAAGGCCAACAATCGTAGTGTTTCTTGACATCAGGGCTGCCTTCGATTCGTTGGACAGGATTGTTCTCTGGGATTGTCTATTGAAGAAGGGTGTGCCTGAGAAGTTTATTAACATCCTAAAAGCCCTATATAAAAACACCTCAGGCAGAGTGAGGGCATACAACCACCTCTCTCCATTGTTCCATTCGAGCAGTGGGGTTAGGCAGGGTTGTCCAATCTCACCATTCCTCTTCAACTTTGCCATCGATGACATTCTAGAAACAGCTCTGATGAATGTAAGTAATAGTGGTGTGGATCTGTTGCCTGGAGAAAGACTTCTCGACCTTGAGTATGCGGACGATATTGTCTTACTGTGCGATAATGCCCAAGGCATGCAATCCGCACTTAATCAGTTGGCAATCAGTGTCCGTAGGTATGGTATGTGCTTTGCACCTTCCAAGTGCAAAGTACTTCTACAAGACTGGCAGGATTCTAATCCTGTACTCACCCTGGATGGTGAGCAGATAGAAGTAGTCGAGAAGTTCGTGTATCTGGGTAGCTGCATAAGTGCTGGTGGGGGTGTGAGTGACGAGATCAATGCACGAATAGTGAAAGCCAGAGCGGCTTATGCCAATCTGGGCCACCTTTGGCGCCTTCGTGATGTTAGTCTGGCTGTAAAAGGTCGGATCTATAACGCGTCGGTGAGAGCAGTTCTGCTCTATGCTTGTGAAACCTGGTCTCTCCGAGTTGAGGACGTTAGACGACTCCCTGTGTTCGATCATCGCTGTCTCCGAAGGATTGCTGACATTCAGTGGCAACACCATGTCAGTAATGCAGAGGTTCGGCATCGTGTGTTCGGGCACAGAGATGATAATTCAATTGGTGTCACCATCTTGAAACACCGACTTCGGTGGCTTGGACATGTTCCCCGAATGTCGTCCCAGAGAATTCCACGTCGTGCATTATTTGCCGACTCTGGGACTGGTTGGAAGAAGCGGAGAGGTGGTCAGTGCATGACATGGTGTCGTGGTATGAAAGAAAGCTGCAAAGGGCTGGCTTCTGTCGGTCCTTCACGACTCCCTGGTTGGGGTCTGAGAGATGGTGCTACACAGTGGCTAGAGACGTTATCAGATATGGCTCAGAATAGAAGCCAGTGGCGATCCTGCTGTAACCTTCTTTTACTTTCTTCATAAAAAGTGGTTGTGTCTCCCTTACCTGAAAGATTTCTTCTGATTGTACCTTTTCGTTCCCTCGTTACTACCACACTACCTTACACCAATCTCTTTGTTATTGTTCTCTTTTTCTTTTGCGCTCCTTAGTTTTTTTTGTACTTCTCTTCGAATTTTCATTGTTTTGTGTGGCGCATATATATTGGCGCTCTATTGTACCAATATTTATGTGTTCAAATAAATAAATAAATAAATAAATAAGAAAGTGACACATCGAAGTGAAACCTGGCATAAATGTGTGTCGAAACAAATCGCAACACTTCGCGTCAACACAGCAAAAAAAACTAACAAGCGAAAACGGAAACGATAATGACAACTAGAAAAATGTTAAGGTAACAAATGAAAATAGAGAATCAAGAGTAGAAAATGTGTCTAACAAATAAAAAAAGGAAAAATTATGCTACGCTGTTGACATGAATTTCGAGTTACGTAGATGTTTTTTCAAGTCAAAATTTAAGGTTATCACATGAACCACAAAGAGGAGGTTCATTAGTATACTTAAGTCAGTCAGTTCAACGTGACGTAGAACCCGGTACATCGGTTCAAGTTGCCGTCCCCCCATTAGCAAAGCAAGACGGAAATGTTAGAGCGAATTAACAGAGTAGTAGAATTAGTAAAAGTATTCTTAGTATGAGGAGAGATTAGGTAGAGAAAAAAGGAGAAAAAATATATAGGGAGATTTCGGGTGTCAGGTTATAAAAGAACACCAGAAGTGAATGCATATGTACTATTACAAACGATACAGTTTGTAACCGTTGGTTACGATAATCACGAGGGCCTCAATCAGGCAGTCTGCACGTATTAACATTAGACCAGTTCAATTGTTAACCACTTCATGGATTGATCCCACGCCTTGGTTTGGCCGCCCCTAACTTTCTTCTATCCTACTCATACACCAGATAACATTCCCTACCGAAGTAGATGGTGATTGGACATTCATTTATTTAAACATAAAAATTAGTGCAGGGAGGCACCAAATATATACGCGTCACGCAAATCATTTAGTTTGTGTGAGGGCTAGGCGCCCAAACCAAACCAGGTGGTCAGTTGATGAAGATCTATCACTTTATCAATCGATTCGCCATCGTCACCTAGTACCCCATTACTTATTCAGTGGTCTCAAAATATACGAGCAATACTTCGAAGACAACCATAAAACCAGAACAGTCAGCCAGCAAGCAACAACGTAGAACTTCGTACGTACGTACATCAGTTCGAGTTGCCATACCACATTAACACAGTGGTAGGGGTAGTAAAAGTATAAGCACTGTCGGAAAGATTAGGGTATGAAGATGCTATTCAAGAAGTATAATCCAGTGAAATAAATTTGGAAAGAGGAGAAAGAAAGAGACATAAAGATTGGAATTTGGGAGAACACAAAGAGTGGATGCACCTGCGCCATTGCAAACGACTTTGAGCCATGTCATTTAAGGTCTCATAAAACCAGAACGGAGCGAACTGATGTTTAGCAAACTCATCCTTTGATTGGAAGATGGATATCTCATCGATGCCACAAGTTGACAAAATCTAGTCGAGTCTTCTGAATCCGCGTTGAGATTTCGTCAGCTACCAGATCATCAGAACTGATGAGACTCCTTAGATGAGTGAAGCGATCGATGTGTTTAACTACTTAGTTCCGTATCATTGATTCGGAGACTGACACAAGCCAATCGTAAAGCAAAGTTTTGCATTTGCAGGGAGAGAATTACATTCCAAACATGGTAGTATTGTTGCTTAAGGTGGTCAGAAGACTTCATCTTATTAGCGTCTCCAGAAACAAGACTATATTATTTGTGTATTCTAAGCCAGTAAGGAAGTCTCGTGAAAGATCCGTTGCTGATAAGCTAGATGAATTGTACATCTAAAATGATGCTTAGGACAAGGTCAAACAAGAGTAGGGAGAGCGGACAATCACTTGGTTATTGAACCGGATAACAGTTCGCTATGAACTCCGATTGGATCAGTAGTGTTCGAGTAGAGCCTGTACATGGTTAATGTACTTGGTACGCTTTTCAGTGATAGACACACAAAACCTCATGACCAACAGTCGAATCCCACTTTAAGGTCAAGAAATATAATAGAGGATTATAAAGATCACATTAATTGTAAATCAAGCTGATTTCTTTAAGGTTATCACATGGGATTTCTGTTTCTTATAAACGGTCAGTGATCAATACAAATCGACCTCTACGTAGTTTCAGCAAATACATACAACAAACATGAGAAAATATACACCGAAATACGCGGAGAAAACTAGTACAAGTAAGTGAAGACAGTTTTAAATCTCATCAAGACATCAAATAAGATTAGTTCAGCGAAGAGTTTTCTTTTCGGCGAATTCATTTTCAAAGCTGTACAATCGCAAATATATACTTATATTTACAGGATGATAATAATACTGATAATAAACTTGATATACATGGTGACTGTGAAGTTAAATAAACGAAGGTATTAAAATTTTAAAAATTTAAAAACAAGGAAAGTTTAATAATTGTTTGATTGCTATTGGCTTATTTACACTGGTATATTATGTCACCAATCATCACGATACGTATCCAGCTACAAATCACAGTACTGCCCGGATCAATTAACGCATTTAGTAAGTGTAACAGACTGGTGTTGGACTTTAAAACTTAAGTCAAAAGTGTACGTACACACAGGATACACATGACACAATATCCTCACGCACACATTATTCTGTGGAAGAAAATAATTGACTATGGTGACGACATTGAGTGAGAAATATGCAAGTTTTAGATGTGGTTTTCTGATGTTAATAAGCGCCCTATTGCTCACAAAGTTTGCCATTAAGAATTATGCGAATGTATCACAATTGAAGATGCTTTATTTAGGAAGTAAGATGACATGCATTGAGAACTTACATCACACGGCGATTCCATCACAAACACATGGCAATATTGTAGATTACCAAATCCTGATGGTTCTCTCGCCAAAAATGCGACTTGTTTGTGGACGGCATCACAAGTAGCGTACGATATTCTGCGAAGAGCATGGGCCATATAAACAATCTGTTGAAAGGTAGTGTTAAATTCCAACTAAACATACTTTCAGATCGTCTGAACATATTTTTATGCCACTAATGGAAACACACACGATCACAGACTTGCTACGTGTAAAGCACTAGTATTTCAATCTACTGGTTTTTATAAATAACATACTCTTAATGATTCAAGTTCCTTTTGGACCTTTTGAGCTCTGCATACATTGTCCTGCTCGTCAACAGGGAACGATCCGACGTACTTAAATTGTTACCAGAAGGCTGTAACTTACTAGAGAATGACGGTATATAATTTCATCTTTCATTAAAGCACAATTAAAAGTCATGCGCTACCTAGAAGTTATTCATGCAATTAACTGTTACGAAGCTTTTCAAGTTACGCCTTTATATACTGTTCAAGGTCATAACAAAAATAATATATTCTACAACAATTGGATAACTTGAGTTAATAAAATGTTGATAATATCACTTTTAATAGTTTTTTACAGGAAGTCGAACTTTGTGTTTTAATTATCTTGTTGGTGAGGTAGGACGACATATTGTCTGTGACTTGTTCGCACACACAAGGGTTAGTGTTTTGCTATCGTAATTGGCATGAATGTCCTTATGATTTCCTGTTGATTGTGATTTTACATCCAAATAATCCTGTTAAGTCGGAATGTTATCTGGATGTAGAGGGCTATTTTATGTCTTCATTTAATGTTCTAACTATTCACAAACGATTTTTTTTCCGAATTTGTATTAAGAGTCAAACCCACTCGTCATTATTTTAGCTCGAAATTCCTCTTAGTTCAGTAATTCGATGCATCGACTTCATAAAGTACTTGAGACAGCCATGTCTTCGTTTCACCTCACTTCTGATTATGTGCTGAGGTCTCCATTGGGCAGTGTTACGTAGTTCTGGAGTATGTCCTCTATTTAAGCTATTATTGGTCGGCTTGCGTACGTCAGGTCCAACGTTGTGTGGGACTGAAGAACTGGGGGATTCGACATGAGCAACCAGTCCATTATGGTCCAGAAACTAGCAGATATCTACTGATAGATATGTAAGGAGAGGTCCTGGTGTACCAAACACAACTCCCTGTTTGTCGAGTATTGAGAAGTTATTTTATGCTATTAGATTCAGTTTACATGCATTACTCTCACTTTAAGCATAATTCCGCTGTTTTTACGTGGTCATCTCACCGTGAAAATACTCTGCAGCTGCTGGTCCCAACAGTTTTCGAAGAGGACTTTACCTACTAAACTTTGTTCGCTTATTGTTTTTGTAGTTTACAGCTTGAGTTCGAAATTTTAGTCTGGTTAAAAGTCCGTTTTATGATATTTCTGTAAATTCGTCTTAGTGTATTTCAAATTTTCGTGAGTGCACTTCTTACGCAAACGTACTCCTGATACGTCACCTGAGACATTCGTACAGCTTTTGTAAAACTGATGTTACCAGTTCACCTGTTTTATAAACGGATTATGACAAGCACTTAAAAAATTGACTTCCAATTTATAGTTCTTTACATATGTAAAATCAACTCAGCGAGTCATTACGATTTTTCTATCAATCAAGTCAGTATATTTTTAAAATGTTTCTCTATAACTAACAGCTCCAGTATTGAAAGGCGTGACTGCCGTGCATAGATTGCTACATACGTGACAAAAGTGTCTATGTTGGTCGTTCCCTTTTCACACTATTAACACAGTCACTAATAGTTCACTTAAGTTAATGTAAGAAGTAACTGGGTTCTCTAGAACACAATGTCACATTGTAAATTCATCTTCATTATTGCTACATTGGAAGAAACTGATGCAGAGTAGCGTCTCTGACACAGCATTAGATCGTTCATCTTTTTACTAAGATTTTCCGTATGGGGAACCACTCCTATGTTGATTTCCTTATGTTCAGTCCACACGTTCAGTTTTCAGTGTCTGGGTTCTTTTAACGATCCATTGGCTCCCACTTAACGGCGTACAGAGGCGTGTCTCATTACTGAGTCCTCTGCTATGAATTCATTTTTTGTCTATCGCTTTAGATGGTTATCCTAGATATATTTCTTGTTTCTTTTCTAGTTATTCTCGTCATTGAAAATGGCTCTGGCCGCTCAGAAAGCTCTGTTGGATGAGCTAATGGGTAAAAACAGAAATGCTTGTAATGGTGAGAGCTCTGGTGGTCCACATTGGTCTGACGATGATGTATGCAAGTTTTATTTGTGTGGGTTTTGTCCTCATGATTTATTTGTCAATACAAAGACGGATTTGGGTCAGTGTCCTAAATCTCATGATGAGCGCATGAGAGAATCGTATAAAAAGAGTTCTCGTTTTGGAAAGATGGGGTACGAGCAAGATTTTGTTCACTATCTTACTCAGCTTTTGGAGGATGTTGAAAAAAGAATTCGGCGAGGACATGAGCGACTGGCAGTCAATAAATGTGTTAACAATCCAGACCCGATCGGAGCCAGTGAAAAGAAAGAAAAAATTGCTGCGCTCACCAAAAGAATTAATGACTTGGTGAAACAAGCTGAGGAATTGGGAACTGAAGGAAAGGTTGATCAAGCACAGGGAGTTCTTAAATTGTGTGAACAGCTAAAATTTGAGCGATCACAGCTCGAGGGTGATGCGCGTCCCGGAATGACTCAGGTATGCCACTATTATTTCTTTAATGTTTTCTGTTTCGCTTGTTTTCAGACTAAAGAGTTGGAAGTCTGTGAGATTTGTGGAGCCTTCAGAATCAAAGACGATGCACCTCAACGAGTTGAAGAGCATTTGTCTGGTAAAATGCACCTTGGCTACGCGAAAATTCGTGACTATTTAAGACAATACAGTGAGAAGCATTCGAATTCCTCTTCTCGTTATGGACGACGGGATAAACGATCTCCAGCTGATCGCTCTCCTATTTCTCGGGATCGTGATCGTCGTCGCAGCCGTGGTAGGAGTGTAGAGCGAAAGTACGTTCTTTTTTCTAAACGTAAGCTGTGGTTAGTAGTATCACAGTTCCCCGATGAATTAATGTGATTCGATTGGAATAATTTAAAAAGGTACTTATTGCAGATTTTAATTCCGCTTATTAGGTAATTTTGGAGTCATCGTCTATTGCGGAGGCAATCGATTCCACAAGGTATATTTACTTTTAAAGCCCAAAGTAGTTTATTTAACATAGATTGTAAAGTTCGATTAAGATATACGCAAGGTGAATTTTTAGGTATTTTTCACTATTGTCTCTAAGTGTTTTTGTCCATTTTTCAGTTGCTATTCTGTTCTTGTTTATTTTCTCAGTTCTCATCTACACTCCAATGCTTCCCGACATGGTCGCCACGAAAGTGGTGGCAGTCGGTTTAGATCCAGACATGATTTTCGGGATGAAAGGCGAAGATTTGGTAGATCTAGATCCAGTTCACGTTCGCGAAAACTTTACGATCGTCACCGTCACGACCACTCATCCTCTTCAAAGTCCACGAAGCGCAATACTTCACCATTCAGTGCCGCCCGACGTCCTCCCGAGGGTGCTGAAGATTACTAACTTCTCAGTCCAACCTATTTGTTAGAATATTGTACATATATTTCAGATAAGTTTTCTGTTTACGCGTTAATAAGACCTTAATTCATGTTTGTTTCCACTTAGCATTGATTTGTCGAATACAGAAATTAATGCAAATTTTCTGTTCTCATTTACTCTTTTGGTAGGCCATCGGATACGTTAATTTTTTTGGTATGAGATTTCTATTTGTTTCCCGATAACTCAAAGTTGCACCATAAGTCATCCAATTTTTCACTAATAGGACAACGTATAGTTGTTTCATATCCAGGTTTTGCCTTATTTCTTACAATGGTGTCTTAATAGCATAGCATTTAAGTAGTGGAAACAGTAGTGCTATTTCGTCCGTGATCGAATTTTCATTATATTACCCACAAATGGAGTTGTTATGACAAGCTGTTTATCACTATTTCTTCGTCAAGTTTGCGTTCACGGAAATTACAGTATCTGAAGTTCAGTGTCAAATGTCATTCTTGGTACTTACAGTTGCGCGCTGAAGTATTTAGGACTAATCATTCGCTCAAACTACTTGACGAAACACGACGGACAGGAGAAATTCGGTTCGTCCATAAGCCTTGCTTTGTTAGTGCTCGGGTCTTTGGGTGTCTTGTTATGTCCTATGAACAATCCAATGTGATTTTGTGAGTCGTCCTCGAAACTCGTTAGTTGTTAAGATCTCGGGTGTTCAACTTTCGTTGGTTGCTTACTAACATTAGTAGTTTGATTTCATAAGTAAACTTAGCTAGCACCATATAAACGATCCCAAAACAAGATAAATACACGCGAGCTATTGCGAATCAAAGAGTGCTGTTGGTATCGTAGCAGACAAAATCAATTTATGTGAAGACCCGGAGCGGCTTGTGTTTACCTGTAGCGCCTTTCTGATGCGAGTCTAGGGGATCAAGTGTACAACTCATCAGTGGAACCATCTCTGCTCTATGGTTACAAAATATGAGCCTTCCGAGCTGAAAGTTCCCAGTGACTGGTTATCGTTGTATCTGATACATCGGGCGGCAGTGTCGAGACGCATCAGTTATTTGTTTTTTTATTTATTTATTTGAACACATTGGTACTAGGGGCACCAGATACGTATGCACTACACAAATCTCATTTGATTTGTGTAAGGGCTGTGATAATGCCCGGGTGCTCAAACCGAACCGGGTGGTTTTCTTAAGAGGCCACGCCCGGAGCATTCGACCTGAAGGTCTGATCCATAAGGCAGTGGAGCATCGTGAGGAGATGCAGTCCCATGGAAGCCGGTGACCAACAATTGGTTTATACGCCATTTGTTCCATCAGGATACTGAGGCCCATGTGCACTAGTGGTCTGGAATCAGGGTTTTCCAACTACCCTAGGTGGAATCTCCATGTCCACTAAAACGGTTAAAGCTTCGGACATTCGCTTTTCGTCCTCTCAATCTCGCAAACAACACCCCCGCCACGAAAAGGCAGTGAGTAGGACTCCCCTGGCAGAGGCTATTT